CCTTTTTTTTTTTTAAAAAATTTTAAAAAAAATTTTTTTTAAAAAAAAAAAAATTCTAAAAAAAAAAAAAAAAAAAAAAAAAAACACCAAGATACAGATCAACACAGAGAAACAGCCCTGTCTCCAAATGATTACAATAACTTCTACATAATATACCAAATAAAAAATTTGTCCCAGCAGAGTTTAAGTAGATGGAGTTCCTGTTTAAAAATAAACTTAGATTTGCCATAAATATACAATTTAAAAATAATATTAAAATATTAATATTATGCTCAACTGTTTTACTCTCAGATACATATCCATATAAAACAATTTGAAGAGAGAGTCTTTGTTCATGGACTTTATGGTTCGGAATGTATGAAGAGATTCGCATAAGATGTTTACAGATTGACAAAAAAAAAACAGATCTTTGTTGTTTCAGGTCCATATATCAATAATCACAATCAATTTTAAATCTGTGTCTTATAAACTCCTTTGAAGAAAAGACATAATGTAGAGGTTTGAAATTAATTTCTATATATTTTGGAGGGAGAGAAAACCCCAGATATGTTTTATTTTACTTGATTTTTCTTTTCATACTTCTCCATAAATTTTTTTCATGACCAAACCAGATTGTTTTCGCTAAATCTTGTCTTTAAAATTTTATTGCTACATTTTTTATTAAGTAAATCTAATCCATTAGTATTTTGTAATTTAGCTATTGGGTTGGTTTTATACATTTTTTAAGATGAACAAATGCACTTGCTATCTTTTTTATTATTATTTTTGTTGCAGTCACATTTTGCACAATTTAGATTATATTTCTTAACTAAATGTATTCATATTCATACAGACTGCCATTATCATCCAGTAAATGAGTGACGGCCAGAAAGGTGAGAGCAAACCAAAACTCATGATTTTCCATCTTTGTTACTTTTAACTGTTTCTTGTTTTGATTTAGAGATGTTTATTTCTAGAAATAAAATTAAACTTTGAGTTCCTCACAAACATTTGGAGGTACTGACAGAATGTGGTAAATAAGCTTTGATAAGGTCCCCACTGAGGAGAGAGTGGTGTAAAACCACTGGATTTAAAAACATGGACTGCATTCATTCTGTTTGCACAAAAGGTTTTAATAATAAATATTTCTCACAGACAACTACACAATCCACTGAAAAATGTTGCTATTTTCATCTGTAGCAATTGGGTCAAACGCCAGCACCATCTTCTGATGTAATGAGGGTAAGTCAAAAAATGTAAATGCAGTTTTGGAGGAAGAAGCTATGAAGTGAAGAAGAAGAAGAAGAAGAAGATGGGTTTTGATTAAGGACTGCAACCCTATTTTTTGAGCCATAAGGTTCAGAAAACAATAATGAATTCAACGTTTCTGGAGAAGAAGGGTCCGAAGTGTTGGAGCTGGACATTCATCACCTCCATATGAATTAATGGAGGTGTGATTGTTTTAGCATAAACATTTATATGCTAAAATAACCACAGGTCTGAGCCTAAAACTATCTCTATCTAAACTATCAGATGTTTTACAGAACTTAAATAAGCAAGATATTGTTTAAGTCAAAGGGTTACGCTACCAAAGTCAAAAAAATCTTAGAGATATTTCTGCTTCAGAGAAAGTCAGCCATCAAATGTAATTATACTCAACATTGAAGGATATATATATATATATATATATATATTTTTTTTTTTTTTCATTTTTCTTGCCTTTCTGCCT